AGGTGACACTCAATCTGTAAGGTGGCTATATACCTTAATGATAATAATGAAATATATAATTTTGTATTTGGATTTTTATTAATTTTATCTCTCTTTTTTAAAATACTCTTTTGTTTACTTTTTTGTAAGTACAATACTCACAATAATTTCCAAGATACTGGAAAATAGATATTGATGAAATTCTGGCCCCATTTAGCATAAGCAGAAGAGTGAATGAATTTCAACCTGCATGACAGAATAAAATTACATGGCTACATAGTCAACTTTCAGCTGAAAATTTCTTGAATAATTGAAACTTTGACTGATACCACAAAGAATCAGTTGGGTTTTTAGAAATGTACAGTATTTATTAAAATGCTAATACCATTGGAATACCTAGTGTCTGGTATTTTTCACCATACTGTCACACTGTCTGGAGTGGCTCACGACCGTGAGTACCTACCTCAGGGCAGACTGACAAAAAACAGAGCAGACACCCCAAACTCGTAGTATGTTCTATAATTAGATTTCACCAAGTCAGTAACAAATGTGAACTCCTGATCACTGTACCAGTCTTACTATGGAGTCACAGACAGACTGGAGAGTCTAAGGGGACTATCTTGCCACGTGGACAAACTAGACTTTATGATAAAGGGTCACTTAAACCAAAAATCACATCACATCAGGTTGCTCCCAATCCCAAGAGCCCAGTCACTTACCCCAGATCATTTGGTACTCTAGATGTCACACCAAAGACAATGCAGTAGCCAATTCTATAGTAAACTAACAAATGATTTATTAGCTAAGAAAAGAAAGTGAGAGTTATTGAGAGGTTAAAGCAGGTAAAATATAGGTACAGGTGAGTCACAGTCTATAATTCCAAACGCTGGCAGTGATGTAATAAACTGCCAGTTTCCCAAAAGTCTCTCAGGGCTACCCAGAATAACTCTGTGGATCTCGGTCTTCTTGTTCATTATTCCACCCTGTTAGAATCGAAATAATCCAGAGATGAAGGGTGTTTCCTTTAATCTATTCTTATAGCTTCTTCTCACAGAAAACAAGCTGACAGCGTCACTACCCACGTAGGCTTTTCCTTTGGTGATGGAGAGTGAGAAATGCATTTTGAGTCTTTGACCTCCAAACATCATACACAATGACCACTTGCTTTGAAATTAGCACTTTTCTGTTAAAAGTTCTTCATCTGCTTTTCACAAGACTTCTTTCTCCTTTGATGGGTTTATATAGTTACAGGGGTAAACACAATGTAAATGTTTGCTACTCTATTATACCAGGATACAAATAAGTAAAAACAACGCATGTAAAATTCCATTAGTTTTCATGGAGTTTAACCACCAAATACACTCTTATACATTTAACAATTACTTTGATTTATACTAATACACAAGTGAATTGACCTGGGGCTTTAGCATGCGCTAGCATCTGGTCTGCCAGCATCATACATACATTACTGTTTCCCAAATGGGAGCTACAAATTTTAGAGTATTATTATCATTCAGAAAATAAAAGAAATAAATACATTTTGGTCTCTTTTATGCCCCCCCAACCCCTCAAAGCACAAGGTTTTTTTGCTACAGATATGGTATAGAGCCCAGTTCATCCTTCTCTATGGAAGTCACTGCCTCCCCTTACACCCATGTTGAATTTGGCTCAATGTCTGAAATTTACATTAGGTCATGGAATGAAAATTTTGAAGCTTTACACTGTAACTCATGACAAGTAGCATGTACGGCCAGGAATGTAACATCTGCCCAGATGGATTCAAAAGTATAAGAAGCAACCCTCTGGTGTGCTACAGATGTCTAATAAGTTACAATATTTTGAAAATATTTGAGTTTCTAGTGGACTCCATCTTGCACTTTAAGAATTTTATGTGAGTACCACCATTCCCTTTTGTACTGTTGCTTTCATACCTGAACACAGGTTTACGAATTTTTTTCTTTAAGCACATAAACTAATTGTAAATACTTAAGGATGTTTAGTACCTTGAAATGCAAGTGCTTCTTGCTGAGTTAGCTAATAATCTTTAAAAAGAAAAGGAGTACTTGTGGCACCTTAGAGACTAACAAATTTATTTGAGCATATGCTTTCTTGAGCTACAGCTCACTTCATCGGATACATTCAGTGGAAAATACAGTGGGGAGATTTATGTTCAGAGAAGGTGAAACAACGGGTGTTACCATACACACTGTAATGAGAGTGATCAGGTAAGGTGAGCTATTACCAGCAGGAGAGCGGGGGTGGAGGGGGCAAAGAAACCTTTTGTAGTGATAATCATGGTAGGCCATTTCCAGCAGTTGACAACGTCTGAGGAACAGCAGGGGTGATAAATATGGGGAAATAGTTTTACTGTGTGTAATGACCCATCCACTCCCAGTCTTTATTCAAGCCTAAGTTAATTGTATCCAGTTTGCAAATTAATTCCAATTCAGCAGTCTCTCGTTGGAGTCAGTTTTTGAAGTTTTTTTGTTGAAGAATTGCCACTTTTAGGTCTGTAATTGAGTGACCAAAGAGATTGCAGTGTTCTCCGACTGGTTTTTGAATGTTATAATTCTTGATGTCTGATTTGTGTCCGTTTATTCTTTTACGTAGTAACTGTCCAATTTTGCCATGGCAGAGGGGCATTGCTGGTACATGGTCACATAAACACCACCCTTTACTGGAAACCTACTGACCGCTATGCCTACCTACATGCCTCCAGCTTTCATCCAGACCACACCACACGATCTATTGTCTACAGCCAAGCTCTACGATACAACCGCATTTGGTCCAACCCCTCAGACAAAGACAAACACCTACATGATCTCTATCAAGCGTTCTTACAACTACAATACCCACCTGCTGAAGTGAAGAAACAGACTGACAGAGCCAGAAGAGTACCCAGAAGTTACCTACTACAGGACAGGCCCAACAAAGAAAATAACAGAACACCACTAGCCATCACCTTCAGCCCCCAACTAAAACCTCTCCAAAGCATCCTCAAGGATCTACAACTTATCCTGAAGGACGACCCATCACTCTCACAGATCGTGGGAGACAGATCAGTCCTTGCTTCCAGACAGCCCCACAACCTGAAGCAAATACTCACCAGCAACCACAAACCACACAAGAGAACCACTAACCCAGGAACCTATCCTTGCAACAAAGCCCGTTGCCAACTGTGTCCACATATCTATTCAGGAGACACCATCATAGGGCCTAATCACATCAGCCACACTATCAGAGACTTGTTCACCAGCACATCTACCAATGTGATATATGCCATCATGTGCCAGCAATGCCCCTCTACCATGTATATGTACCCACCCCTCACTCCTATACCACACCCCCTTCCTCTTCTACCCCCACTGTACCCACCCCTCACTCCTATACCGCACCCCTATCCTCTCCTACCCCCACTGTACCCACCCCTCACGCGTACACCGCACACCCTTCCTCTCCTACCCCCACTGTACCCACCCCTCACTCCTATACCACACCCCCTTCCTCTTCTACCCCCACTGTACCCACCCCACTCCTATACCACACCCCCTTCCTCTCCTATCCCCACTGTACCCACCTCTCAGCCCTATACCGCACCCCCTTTCCTCTCCTACCCCCACTGTACCCACCCCTCAGCCCTATACAGCACCCCCTTCCTCTCCTACCTCCGCTGTACCCACCCCTGAGCCCTATACTGCACCCCCTTTCCTCTCCTACCCCCACTGTACCCACCCCTCATTCCTATACCGCACCCCCTTCCTCTCCTACCCCCACTGTACCCACCCCTCACTCCTATACCGCACCCCCTTCTTCAGCTACCCGCACTGTACCCACCCCACTCCTATACCGCACCCCCTTCCTCTCCTACCCCCGCTGTACCCACCCCTCACTCCTATACCGCACCCCCTTCTTCAGTTACCCGCACTGTACCCACCCCACTCCTATACCGCACCCCCTTCCTCTTCTACCCCCACTGTACCCACCCCTCACTCCTATACTGCACCCCCTTCCTCTCCTATCCCCACTGTACCCACCCCTCACTCCTATACCGCACCCCCTTCCTCTCCTACCCCCGCTGTACCCACCCCTGAGCCGTATACCGCACCCCCTTCCTCTACTACCCCCGCTGTACCCACCCCTGAGCCGTATACCGCACCCCCTTTCCTCTACTACCCCCGCTGTACCCACCCCTGAGCCGTATACCGCACCCCCTTTCCTCTACTACCCCCGCTGTACCCACCCCTGAGCCGTATACCACACCCCCCTTTCCTCTCCTACCCCCGCTGTACCCACCCCTCAGCCCTATACCGCACCCCCTTCCTCTACTACCCCCGCTGTACCCACCCCTGAGCCGTATACCGCACCCCCTTTCCTCTACTACCCCCGCTGTACCCACCCCTCAGCCCTATACCGCACCCCCTTCCTCTCCTACCCCCACTGTACCCACCCCTCACTCCTATACCGCACCCCCTTCTTCAGTTACCCCCACTGTCCCCACCCCACTCCTATACCGCACCCCCTTTCCTCTCCTACCCCCACTGTACCCACCCCTCAGCCCTATACCGCACCCCCTTCCTCTCCTACCCCCACTGTACCCACCCCTCAGCCCTATACCGCACCCGCTTCCTCTCCTACCCCCGCTGTACCCACCTGTCAGCCCTATACCGCACCCCCTTTCCTCTCCTACCCCACTGTACCCACCTCTCAGCCCTATACTGCACCCCCTTCCTCTACTACCCCCGCTGTACCCACCCCTCAGCCCTATACCGCACCCCCTTTCCTCTCCTACCCCCGCTGTACCCACCCCTCAGCCCTATACCGCACCCGCTTCCTCTCCTACCCCCACTGTACCCATTCTTACACCGCCGAGCCCGTTCCTCTGCTGCCCCACAGCACAAGCACCCACACCCGCTTCTCTCCGCCAGCGCCGCCCACACGCGTTCTCCCCACTGTCCCGACCACGCCGCTGCTCTGCGCTGCCCTGGCAGGCCCCCTGCCCTGCCTCCATAAAAGGGAGCGCCGTGCGCCTGCTCGCGGCTAGGGCTCGCCTCTGCAGCGTCGTGACTGGCTGCCGCCCGTCCACACTTACCCACCCCTGCCATGGCGAAGGAAGCGTCAGCTCCGCCGTCCCCCCTGAAAGGCGGGCGCCCTCCAGCAGGTAGGCGCCCCCGCTTTGCAAGGAAGCTGCTTGGTTTCCTCTGGCGGCTGCTCCCCGCGGTTGTGGTTGGGAAGAGGGGACGGGGACACACGCACACGCACACACACACGCTTGCGCGCGCCTCATCGTGTAATGTGCTCCGGGGGGGGTGGGGTCTCTCTCTCTCTCTCTCACACACACACACCTCCCTACCTACCTCATTGTGTTCCCATGAGTGGGACCCCCGTCCCGTCGTGCAGGGTCCGGGATGCGGCGAGCGAGGGGTGAGACTCTCGCACCCCCTCCCCCCTCTTGGCCTTTGCGCACACCTGACGTTCAAACTCTGCCTGGCCGCGCAATTCTCCCTGCCTTTAGCAGCCCTTCGGCAGAATCTGGCCCCATGACCAGCTCTGCACGGCTGGTTCCTTTGGGGCTGTTGCTGCAGCTCCCCAGAGGGAGAGGGGTGTAACACAGCCAATGTGAGCGCCTGACAGGGTATCAGTGAAACTCTGTCGTGATCACCACTCACTTCTGGAAAGACCCACGCTCACACTTTCCTCCACCTCCTGTGTTCACCCGGGTTTGCTGCTATCCTGGGGTTTCTCCTGATGATGTTAATAACCAGATTCGACTTCTACAGATCTTTCTATTTGAGAATCCCAAAGTGCATTACAAGTCATATTTCAGAGTGGTAGCCGTGTTAGTCTGTATCAGCAAAAACAACAAGGAGTCCATTGTTTTTACAAGTCAGAGTGGACTTGCTCCTGTGAGGATGCAAGGAAATATTATGCCAGGGAGTTCAGCAGGTACTTTTTGAAGTGATTGGATTATTTTGGGTCCCTGTTTTGAAAAGCAGGCTGTGGTGCAGGCATCCAAAACTAGCAGCTGTCAAGATTGTATACCAGCTCTTAAGCAGAGCTGGGAATAGACTCAGTCCTGAGTCCCTGACTCTGGTGTGTTAACAAGAGCTTTCATCCCTTTTGAGTCCCTGTCTGCTGGTTTACATTTTCCTTTATTTAGAGACTAACTAATCTTTTAAAAATAAAAAAGGTGAATAACAATTCACACTGATGAAGAGAGTGTGTGGAGAGGCTGAAAGGTATACCATGACTTAGAATCTCCAAATTTGACAATGTCCATTTAAGGAATTACAGCCACTTTCTGGATTATTTTACCAAATTATAACCTAGATTTTACAAAGCCAAAGTTTGCACTAAAGTCCATGGGCATGTGCCTGAGCTACATCTACAGAATTGGGCCCTTAACATTTTATCAACACCCCTCTGTAGCTGTAGTATCCTTTAAAATGCAATAATGGTAGTAGAAGGCCTGGATCCTGCAATCTACTCTGCACAAGTGGATACTTGTATCTATGTAGCACCTCAGTGATTTCAGTGGAACCCATTGTGGGGATAAGAATACATCTGTGAACTTCTGATTTCAGGATTGAGGTCTTGGATTGCAAACTCTGTGACAGGCAGTTTGAAGGGTATAATACTTTTATAGCTGCTGTATAAATTCTGAGTAACACTTGTGTGTAAATTAAAGTTGTTTCTTTCCTCATGGATCTCCTCCTGTTTATCAGGTGAAATCACATGTGAGTGTTTGGGACTTCATAATCCGTTCCATAGTCCTGAATTGAAACTCAAACACTGGATTGTGGCAACTCTGAGAGGAGGAGCAGAGTGATGATAAACTTACTCAGGAATGTGATATAAAGGAATAACCAAAAAATGTGATTGATGCATTTAAATAACTATTAATTTGTCGTCTTTTTCAGCATATAACAGGAAACATATAAGTACTCTGAGATGTCATGTTAGATGGTGCCTTTGTTCACATAACCTGAAGATCATTAATGTGGTACTATATATAACTTCTCCTTTCAAGCAGTTATGATTTGTCATAATAATTGGCATTTATTTGGTGCTTTAAATATTCAAAGTTGTACAAACATTAACTAATCCCTATGTACATTAGCTAATTGTGTGAAGACCTACTGGACTTTGGAAAAATTTGTTCTGATTAGTACTCTATAGCTGCCCCACATGTTATTTCACACTAATTCCACATAATAAAAGTTCTGCAGTTTTTGGTTAAATATAAATTTATGATCAAAAGCTTCTTTTCTAAATCTACTAAGATTTCCCCCTCCTAATTAGTCAGTTAATGCACATTAGACACCAATAATTTACTAAACTTCATTTTTAAAATGCAAAATAATTTGTCTTTAAAAGCATATTCATTCTGAATGGTATATCTGTTTTTAGACTTGCAATTTACAAAATAATTGTACACAAGCAGATTTCTTCTTCTTCTTTTTTTTTTTTAAATGCCCTGGTATCTTGGGGTCCCTCCCTGTATTCCTTTAGCCTCTTCTTTCATGCAGTGGGCAGCTTTGTACAATATGTACATGCTTCTGCATATATATATTTGGAGCCTCACATCTCACTATTAAAACTTCAATGAAAATTATAAAAAAAAAAAAAAAACCAAGGAGTCCTTATGACACCTTAGAGACTAACAAATTTATTTGGGCCTAGGCTTTCGTGGGCTAAAACCCACTTCAGCAGATGCATGTAGTGGAAAATACAGTAGGAAGATATATATACACAGAGAACATGAAAAAATGGGTGTTGCCATACCAACTGTAATGAGACCAATCAATTAAGGTGGGCTATTATCAGCAGGAGAAAAAAAAAAAACCTTTTGTAGTGATTGGTCTTGTTACAGTTGGTATGGCAATACCCAATTTTTCATGTTCTCTGTGTATATATATCTTCCTACTGTATTTTCCACTGTATGCATCTGATGAAGTGGGTTTTAGCTCATGAAAGCTTATGCCCAAATAAATTTGTTAGTCTCTAAGGTGCCACAAGGACTCCTTGGTTTTTGGTTTTTTTTTTTTTGGGGGGGGGGGTGTTGTTTTTTTGTTTTGTTTTTTTGCTGATACAGAAGAACACTGCTACCACTCTGAAATGAAAATTATGTATCCTACTGTCAAAATATGTGATTTACAAATGCTTATTGTATATTTCTAGAGATGCAAACCACATAATTTGGATCTAGATTCAGATCTGATTTTTGGGCACCTCCAGTATTTTCCTTTCCTGCTTGTGCCATCCCCCAAAAACTATAGATCTGAAAGAAACTCTTGTCTTGGTTGTTTTGTTTTGTTTTTTTTTTTTTAAATGCAGAATAGGAACCTTGCCATAAGATGAAACAACTAGATTAAATGAACCAAAAATCTATATTCAGCTTGTTCTTATTTACTTTGACAGTTATAAAATTTACAAATATTCTTGTGCACAGGAAGAAGGTATTTGCTTTGACAAGTTATCTGAAATATCTTTACATGCTCCTTCAAAAAGCTGAATTTGTCTGACATTGCTCAACACTTAAATTGTCATTGTTAGGTCATCTGTAGCTTAATTAGTACTAATTGGTTTTGTGATTGGCAGGCATTTTAATAAATTATAATTAAGCTTGAAGGAACACTAGTGCATGATAAATATGCAGTTGATTCCTAGCTGCATTATAACTTGTACTATACACACAATTTTATTCTGGTGTATCTTGAGTAAATCATGTAAACAATCTTCCTGTTGTTAGTCATATGCTGTGTTGAAAACTGATGTAGAAGGACTCGACTTTTTAAAAAATAATAATAATCTATAAACAATTGCATCTAAGATTTCTCAGAAGGAATGCATGAGGGCAGCCAAATTTTAGAACCAGTATAGTTTCTATTCTGAAGAATAAGATTTCTTTTTTTTAATTATTATTATTATTTTTTTTTTTTAAGATTGCAATAGCTTGAACTTACTCTGGTCATGCTGTAGTCTATAGATAATCTTGGGTGGTTCTCTGGGTCTCATTTTTGTTTTCAACTTCCACCCACACTGCAGAAGAACCATAACAGAGAGTTCAAACTCTCTCTCTTGAGAGTTAATCTTTTATCTTATTACTATGTTTTCCTGAGTATATGTTGTGCAGTTTTTGGGTGTGTTTTTTTGGGGGGGGGGTAAAACAAAACAAAATAAATCAACCTTGTGATGAACAATTCTGTAGCTGTTTAAGCTATTCACACAGTGTAAATTGTTTTCTAACAGTCAAATATGGAAGTAGGAGAGCTTCCAAAAAGCAAAAAAATGGAGCTGTTGAGAAAAATCCCAAGAACCCTGGAAAAGAGAAGACAAGGTATTTCATCTGCAGTTATGCCTTAATTTTACCCTGAAACATCAACAGCAAGTTGGATCAGGTTTCCAAAAAGAATAAAGCTTTACAGTTTTGAACAGTGCAATTAGCAAGCACTAAACTCTGCAGTATACAAATGAAAGGCAGATTTGAAGGTAATCTGAAAAGAAAAATAATTGGATTGTACCCATTTTTGCTTCTTTATAGTCTCCTTTTAAAAAGCTTTGTTTTATTTTAAATGATTAGGGGGCTTGAGAAAATGCCTGCCTTCAAATGAGAGACATAAAGACCTCAATCTGGTTAGTTTAACAAAAAGAAGAAAGAGGTGAGTTGATTATGATGCATAAGAACCTTCACAGGGAGAAAATTTCAGGTACTAAATACCTTTTTAATCTAGAGAAGAAAAACCTAACAAGAACCAGTTTCTGGAAGCTGAACCCTGACAAATTCAAATTAGAATAGGGCACAATTGTTTTTAACAGGGAGGGTGGTCACTGGAATCAACCATTAAGAGAAATGGTGGATTCTCCATCTCTTGATGTCTTCAGATTAACTAGACGCCTTTCTGGAAATTATGGTTTACCCAAAACACAAATTAAGCTTTAGCCAAACACAAGTTATTGGACTCCAATACAAGCATAACTTTAATAAATTTAGTGGCTTGTGACATAGAAGATGTCAGACTAGACAATCTAATGGTCCCTTCTGGCTGTAGCATATATAACTCTGTAAATCTATTTCTTTTTTCAGTGTTTTTAATATTAGAAAATCTGATCTTGTCTTTCTTTCCCTGAAACAATGGGTGCATCTGGAGGGAAATGGGGCTAAGGTAGCTTTAAGCACCCTCCTGACCCTGGGCTGTTCCAGGGGCTGGAGCGGCCCCCACTGTACCTTAGACAGCTCTGGGGGCCTATCTGTGTTACAACAGCTTCCTGAAGCTGCCATATGGGCCACAGAGCTGTATGTTGTAGCCCTGTCCCCAGAATGTCTCTTCCATCCCAGTCCTGTTCCTAGCATACCTTGTAAGTCCTAACTTAGTGCGGAGTTCTTGGAAGGCAGCCTTACAAATGTACTCCACTGTGACAGCACAGGAAGAATCTACCACAGCTGGAACTGGTGGTGGTAGCCACCCAGGTCCAAGCCCGCACAACCCCCTGGCTCTGGCCACTAGCCTAGACTGCTGCCCATGCGGCAACATCCACACTACTATATTTAGCTTGCTAGCTCAAACTGAGTTGTGTGTCTGCCTACCCACACTGGGAATCACACCTTCCAGCTGCAGCGTAGACATACCCTAAGAGACATCATACTCTAAGCCCAGAGAGACTTGTCCAAGGTGACATAGGAAGTCTATGTGACTGACCTGCCAAAACTTGGGTTTAATTGACACTAAATCTGATCTCTTTTAAAATCCTCTAATCTATAGTTTTTGTTTTATCATAACCCCTCCCCTCCCCCCCGCTGCTCTCAAAGCTGAGGAACAAATTGCTCCTAATTGTTTTGGCAGACCCACAGAAATCAGCATTGCACTTCCCTTGCTGGCTCTGAAGACCTTGAACTAAAACACTATTCCTGGAACTGGGCTGAGGTGACAGCATTGATTCTGGCACGCAGAACTAGTAAACAAAGAGCTAATTATAAAATCCATTAGAAACTGGAAAGAAATAAGTGATTACTGGAGTATATTTTACGCAGGGGATACTGAACTTTATTTTCAAGATGTAATTATGTAAAAGCTACAAATAAGAGGTCTCATTTTTTATCAATAAAAATTATAAAACATTTTAAAGTAGCTGTTTCATAATGCATACATGTTAACTTGTTCAGGAAACTTAAGCGTCATAATAAATGGAGCAAAGACTGCCCCTCATTCACAGAGAATAATCCAGTGATTTAGGGAAAGAGGAGGACAGTGTGGCTTGGAGGGCTGATAATGTCTTAGGCAGTCTTTACCCTCTAGATCACTGGTTCAAATGTGGCTCAGGTTGGTGGTGGTATAATCACTACCATCTGACACCTGTAAAGTGGCCTACATGAATTGAGTTTGTCCTGAGTCTAGCTCCTACTGGACTCATAACAGGGGTCTCATCACAGTGGGCACTCAGGTTGGCAGTCTTAGCCAAGAGACTGAGGAGGCTTGGAGATGGGACTATTCATTCTAAAGGTGGCCTCTCCGGGTCAGGGTTTGGCCCAGTTGTAGGGCAACAGCATCTGTGATATATATGTCCTGTTAAAAGAGGACTTCAACTGTCAGACATCTTTCATGAGAAATAAATTCATGCAATTTCCCTAAATCTCGCCATTTAAAATCTATCTAGAGAATGACTACTTTAAATATCTTTAGTAGGTGAAAGTTAAAAAAATTTAATGGCAGATAACTTAGGGGCCTAATTGTGTAACTTTGTACTGTGATTAGTCTCCTTGGAATTTGCAGTCTCAGAGGGTAGTAGGATCTGGTTCTTGGTTGGTATGTCTATTTGTTGAAGTATTTTAAATTCACCATTGGTAAGTTCACTTGTTACTGCTGCATCTACAGAATAAACAAACCTAGCTGTAGTTACATCTTCGCGTTCAGGTGAGAATTGTCTTTTAATGTGGCTAGTTCAATGTAGGTAGCAACAGACAAATAATCAGTCCTAGTCTTCCCCTGATGGATGTCTCTGCAAATGGGAACACTGTAGACTCAACTGAAAATGCTTCAGATACGTGCACTTTCTGATAGATAAACTTTAGTATCATCAAATCTGTGTGAAATCCACAATTTTTTTTTTGAGAATTTCACACAAATATTGTTGCCATTTAAATTCATAGGACTTCACAGCCTCTAAATCTTGGTTTAATCTGAATTTTGATAAAATGTCTATGCATTGGAAAAATGCAAACAATAAGGTTTTTGATGTAAAAGTCATCTGAGCTTGACAATAGACCTATTTTCAAATTAAAGTGGACCTTTTTATTTTTTAGTTCTAAAAATATTAGTAATGTTTTCCATAATAATGGACCCAGTTTTGAGATGGGGCGGGGGGGGGGAAGAGTAAAATTTTAAACTGAGGGTACATCTACATTGTAATAAAAATACCCATGACATCAAGTCTCAGGGGCCAGGTCAATGGACTCGGGCTGTGGGGCTAAAATTGCAGTTTATACACGGGGGCTCTATGTGGAGCCCAGGCTCTGAGACATCATGAGGGTGAGTGGTTACAGAGCCTGGTCTCCATGCTAAGCCCCAACATGTACACTCCAGTTTTTAGCCCTGCAGCTCAAGCCCTGCAAGCTTGAGTCAGCTGACCTGGGCCAGCCCTGGCCGTGCCATATGTCTTTTATTGCAGTGTAGACTTGTGACTTCCTGAAACATTTCTAGGTATCAGTGAAACTGCCCAGCAACATACAAAGAAATGTATTCCTCATCAAAGAGGCCTTCTGGGGGATCAGGCACCATGGAAAAGTATTATCTTGTTTCTAGTTTCCTGTTACCAAGTACAAATTGAGAGGGAAAACTATGTACCTGGCAATTATAGGGAGATGATCGTAAACTCTTATTTTTTCCCCCCTATATCATAGAGCAAAGTTACAGCTGAATCACAAAGGCTATGTTGTTTATATCCTTACTTTTATTCTCAAAGTTTCTTTTAAGTCATTTGGGGAGACAAAAATCCTGAAAAAAATCTGTCTTTTGCTTTGCAGCTCAATTGTTAGTGTTACAAAAATGCAAAATATGGGTGTCTTACTAGCCGATGCACTGGAGAAAGTAAGTATATGTAGTGGAATAGGGCACACATGCCTGTTTAGTCTTATAAAGAAATGCTGACAAGGTGTTATAACATAAAATTGATTTACCATAACTGCTGTAATTTAATGGATGTGGGACTATGTCCTGGATTCAACTAGGTATTTAAAAAAATTATTCTACAAATTAATTGCTGAGAGGTTTTGTTTTTCTATGGGGGCTATGGTATTTCTAAAATGATAATTTACCAAGATGCAACTTTGAACTCTCTTCTCTACTCCACTGTGACTGTTAATAGAACACAAATATTTTGGGTATAACAAGACACGGTATAGTTTGAAGTTTTTAAAAGGGCCACATTAATTTCAGATTTATTAAAAACTTGGGGAAAATAACTGAGGGTGGTTCTGAAAGTCAATGGCAGAGCTGGGAATAAATCCAGATCTTCTGGATTCTAGTCCTGTGCGTTAACCACAAGATTAATTTAACTGAGCTAAGTGTTTAATTTAATTCAACTCAGATGAGCACAAGCAAGGAGATCACCTATATGAAACAGCTGAGGGAAGTTCACAATGTTATAAGGACAGGTGCCCATCAGCCCTGATAAGTTTCAAACAAAGCTACAGCAAAATAGACACAAGGAAGTCAAGACAGTGTCAGCAAAACAGCCACAGGTGATCCTCTTGGGCATCACACACAACATACATTAGAAGAAGCCCCAGCACTGTCCAATAGCCCATGCCACCATCGTGGCTGAGGACTAATGTGAGACTTTGGAGATTCCAGTGCTGTTTCCTGACCTCTGCCTTTGCAGATACTCCCATGGTACTGCAGTTCTCTGCCAGACTGTTATGAATGGGACATCTTTCCTGTCAGTTTTGGTTGCAATCCACAGCAACATCCAGTGCATTTCATAGTGATCCACTGTAGGACTCCACTTGCAGTTTACACATTTTGAGTGAACCCGTTTTACAAGCTGCTTCTTAACTTGCACTCCCATTACATACGATTTTAAAGATTCTGCCTATATTCCACAAACACATGATGTCATTAAAGTCCTAAGCCTGAGACAATTCCATTCTTAGTTTTGCCTAGCGCTTACTGAAGCCTCAGTTAAATACATTTTCAGCATATAAATATTGTATGTAACATTAATTCATTGGATCAGATTCCTGGTGTGGGACATGCTCAGCAAAGTCACATCAGAGATTAAATTAGCTCAGAATTTATTTTTTCCTTTTTTTAAAACTAGCAGTACACATGGCTCTCCATTCTCCTCCCCTCTCTTTTTCCTCCCAATCTCCTAACTCCTCTATTCTAACTTAGCATTTCTTCCACTCTCTCTGACCTCCCAGATTCTTCAGACATGCAGTTTTCTCCAGGATCGGGAAGAGGTTCTCAGATATCACAATGGGCTAGTGTTGTAACAACTGGAACTTGGAAAGATTCAGAGTGACTTTAACAGCAGCTGGAATGCTGATTGGTTCTGCTTGGCACCCCTTATAGTTGTGTGTGTGTGTGTCTCTCTCTCTCTCTCTCTTCTTCCCCCCCTTCCCCCCCCCAGTCATTTATTTACATGTTAACCAGGCTGAAGTAACTTTGACACTGGTATGTATGCAGTGTAGTTGGTGACAACTAGGTGGGAGTCTTTCACTGCTAGTCAAATACATGGAGCTGCTATGTCTCCAGTTTATACTGTTCATTTCAATGGCAGACACTTAAGATTGGTCTGCTAAAATATAAAAGCTTTTAAAAAAAATCTTTGTGTCAAGATGAAATTCAGCAGAAAAATAGCAAGAAAAAGTGTTTTTCTGTTGTGACTTTTTTCTTTTAATCTTTCAGATCAGCCATAAATTTCCTGCAGCAGCAGCACAAGTGGCTCATCAAAAGCCACGACCAGCCCTGGAGAAGAGTATATGGCCCAAAAGAATTTACATCATCCAACAACCCCGGAAATGTTAAGATATAAAGCAAAATAGTCATGTCTGCTTGACAGTGAGCTCGTCTAACCACAATCCGCTATTAAATGCTATTTGCAAAAGGACCAAAACATAGGGAAATAGTTGCTGGCTGAACTGTATTGTATTTTTCTTCCATTTCTGGCAATAAAACACTTCATAAGTATACTGATTTCTTGTTACATGGCTTCATTCACCTGACTTTGTAGAATCTTCTATCTTTTCATGAAATTTTCAGAGAATCATATCACACAAATCTGAGTTGGAAAAGAAAACCATTTCTTTTCTGTCTAGTCCATCCCCCGCACTGGCAAAGGATTGTTCCCTGCACTGTAGGGCGACTCATGTCTTGATAACAAGTCCTGTGTAAAGGATAATGGGTGGTGCTGCTCCAGAAGCACAGTTCTCAGCCCCTATCTGGTGCCAGGGTGGGTAGTGAAGCAGTAATTTGCCCAAGATGTAGGGTTGGTACAAATTATTTCCCCAGCACAGCTCTTCCCACTCCCAACCCAACTGGAAGGGAGGAGAAGTAGTAGTCCTATAGAGGCTGTTTTTCTTTATTGTACCAGCAGCATTGCACCCCATAATATGGGTAGCCAGCTCAGGAGAGTGAGCACGTTGTACCTCCTTACTTGCATGCATGGGAGTGTTGGGCCACAGCATGTCCCAGTGTTCCTAGATGTCTGCTTCATGTTTCTAAAAAAGTCTCCTCATAGTAGTTGTATGAGGAGAGGAACGGCAGGAACATGGCTCTAACTATTTTGTTGGTAATTGATGTATTAAGAAATTGTCTTTGAAAATAGTTTGTCAGTGTAGTTGTGCCACCAGTCTCCTAGTTTACTACTTCTGTGGGTGAGGGAGACAAGCTTTCAGGCTCAGACAGGTGACTTGGGAAAGATCTCTGTGTAAGCTCAAAAGCTTCTCTCTCTCACCAACTGAAGTTGGTCCAATAAAAGACATTACCTCACCCACCTTATCTATTTAATATCCTGGGACCAAAACAGCTACAATAACACTAGTTAGCAACAAGATGTTTTCCTTAAGATTCCCCATCATTGCAACCCTGCGGTATTTTTCTGCTTCCAGTAGCAATGATGGTAGTGTAGATTAGCCAGTGGTGTCTTTACTACAATGTCATCTTGACTTGCTCTGAGCAGATAACCAGGTGGCTTAAAAAAATGGAAGGCTGCCAACTCTTTTTCTATACTACAGTTCTCATGGTTGCTAACATCAGTAGAACCAATGGTGGGAAGTTTTAGAGGAAAATGGTTCCGTGTAAACACTGACAGGACATAACTTTGTATTAAATAATCTGAGACATTTAAAAATGTGACTACCTGACCTCCAGAATATATATTATAGGTGGCACAGGCAGTTAGTGACTCTACTTAGGATTGTCCTATACTTTCCATTATAAGATCCTGTTTTCAGTTGCTTAAACTTTACTGGACTTCAACCATTTAGGCAGAAATCTTCCATCCTGGGTGTCTGCCTTTGCCTAAATTATATATATTTTAATTTCAGCAAAAATTATTCAATCATTTTTTCAGAACAAGGTTAGGAGGAAATTTTTTGTTTTGCTCATGTGATAAAGTTTTTACAACTGTTTCATTGAGAAAGCTCTAGCACCTCTGTGCTTTGGAGCAAGGACTTTGAAATTTGGCTAGGGATAGAGAAGTTGTCCTGGTGTCCCTGTAGAAAATCTGCCCACATTTCACGAAGTTTGGAGCACCTGAAAATCTCTGTTCCTTCAGTTCCTTACCTACCTTTTCATTCTTGTATTAATCCCCAAGCTGCCAACCAGCAACAGCAGGAACCAGCTTGCACTCCACTTCCCATGACCATCTGTGGAAACAGACCATAGGAAGTTCAAGCTCAAGGGTTTGACAGCAGCCTCCTGGCTCCTGATTGGCACCCTGCCCTCTGTAAAGTGTCCAGACAACTGGGGTGGGCAATGTGGGCCACCACCCAGGGTGCTATGATCATGGGGAGTCTCAGTGTCCATAGGACCTGTATGTGTTTGTATCTGCATTGAAGGCTCCTGTAGCAAACTATGTACAGAGAGCGGGGCAGGGGGTGGGGCAATGCTCAATTTGTTCCGGGGCTTGCCAAGGCTGAGTCCCAGCACCTCTAGGCTTGGTGGTTCATAGCCCCAATACCTCTGGGCTTCTGATGAGCAGCTGCCGCTCAGCTCTGAAGGCAGCACTGCCGCCAGGAACAGCGCAGAAGTAAGGATGGCAATACCATAGCATGCCACTCTTGCATCTGTGCTGCTGCCGGTGGCAGTGTTGCCTTAACAGCTGGGTGCCGCCCGGCCAGCAGCTGCCACTCTTCAGCCACCCAACAAGTGCTTAATTTGTGACAGGGCTTCTTTCATTACAAAGGAAGTGTGGGGGGGGGGGTCTATGGGCAATGAAGCTATCTCAGGGCAGAGTCTGGGTCTCCCATGTGTGGGACACTTACAGGGAGCAGAGTCGGGGTTGCTGTGGCTTGTGCAGGCGGCTCAAGTATGCTCATTTCAGCCAATCCCCGGCTGAAGTGGGAATAGGGCCTGCTGAGCCCCTTCCCTGCCCTCCTCAGCCCAGAGCTCACAGACTGCAGAGGGAGCTACAGTAGAAGCCAACCTGACCAAGATGCCACCTGCTCTCCCAGGGCCGCTGTTGCCCTAGCCCACAGCTTGTCAGGTAGCAGAGGCCCCGTGCCCTGAGGGGGGCTGGAGCCCAGAGCCCCCAGCCCAGACTCTATATTTGAAAATATAGAAAACCCTCAAAATATTTAAATAAATGGTATTCTAATCTTGTTCAACTGCAATTAAAACTGCAATTTTTAAAAAAATTTCTTGACAGCCCTAATATATATATTCACATTGAAAGAATTTTTAGGCTGCAAAGTTAAGCACTCAGATGTCAGGAAATGCCAGAATTAAGGTTGCTTATGCAACCTTAAATTGGTTCCTTTGTGCGTATGTATTATGATTAGGTTTGGCAGAAATCAATTTTTATTTTTTAAACCTTACTGTGATAGATATTCTTGAGTATTTTTTTCAATTGTATTGCTTTAAATTTTCACAGTTGTAGGACACTGCGGGTGTGGGGCCAGACAATTATTTGGTGACAGTAGACGTTGAGATTTATAACCATTAAAACAGAAACTGTGAACATCACATATCAAGAAATACAAAGTGAATATCCTTAAATCAAACTCTAAGAAGTTCTAAAGCAATATTTTTCTTAAGAACATAAGCACAGCCATACTGGGTCAGGCCAATGGTCCATCTAGCCCAGTATCCTGTCTTCTGACAGTGGCCGATGCCAGATCCTTCAGAGGGAATGAACAGGAAATTGCCTATCTGCAAATTTCAGTTTTTATTGATGGAAATATTTTTTCCTCAATTTGTGGCTGTACAGTGAAATTGACACTTACCCATAAAAAATCTAATCCCTACAAGCCTAATTATGATACAGTCTTTAATTACATTATCACAACTTTTTTTCCCCCCACAGGAGTCCTGTCTCATTCAGTACTCAGGATGGATGTATTCAGAAAATTTAAACTGCAGAACCCTGATAATGGAGCTATTTTCTGCAAGATCCTGGCCTCACAAATACAATAGATGTCAAGGAGCGCTCAGCTGTGACTATATAAAATGCTAATTCTCTGAAAAATTGGATCCTAGATTTTTCAAATGGGGCACTTAAAATTAGTGTACTCTATAGACATAAATATCTGAGCCTCATTTCCTCAGCTGTAAAATGGGGATAACAAACTACCTTATTATACAGGGATGTTGTGAAGATAAATTAATTTAACAGTTGTTAAGCACTCAGATACGATTACTGGAGGAAATCCTTAATTCTGAATTCAATGCAAGGTTTGAATAGCATGCAGTAAATGAGGCATAGGGCCACACCTTAAATAATGAGGGTAAAATAAAATATTGAATAGCTGCTCAGTGAGCAGCAACCATCCTGTGCACTGAATGAGGCTGGATCGGAGGGAGGAGGGAGAAATAGTGTGAGATCATATGTACAGGCAACCTTAATTCTGATACTTCCTAAGTTTTGAGTGCTAGACCTTGAAACCTTAATATTATTTTAATGTAGTCTTTATACATACTATATAGAATTTATAAGCATTTTAACAAAGTTACATTCTGTTCACACTAGTTCAGCTCACATTCTGAAGGGCCATTTTTTCCAACCTCCATGTAAGTTTTAAAGGTAACGTAGATCTGTCATTTTGGGAAGAGTTCTTGGCTTCTGTCTTGTCCCTCTTTTGTTTCCTTAATATGCGTCAGGTATTACTGATTATAAATAACTGAAATGTGTTGTGTGACCTCACTGTCTCTTTTTTGGTGGATGAGCATAAGCAGGCAGAGTTCATGGAATGATGATGACAGAGGCAGGAGCTCAGTAATGGCAGAGCATTTATTACTGGAAGAGGGTGCAGACAGGCAGCTCTCCAACTGCTGCTGCTGACTCCAAAAAATACATTCATTTCACTTTACACAGGCAGGAACCACCCCCTTACCTGACCTTTCACTCAGGTTACTTCCTCAGTCAAAGTCCTCCTTCCCCTCCCCTGCCCCTGAGAAGCCACACCCTTTAGAGGCTGTCTGTGGATGTGCCCCACACACAGACCCAGCCAGCACAGTATCTTGGTTAGTTACACACACACACACACACACACACACACACCTCTGTAAGGTGAATCAGAAGCTTTTAATTTACTTTATATGTACTGTGACAAAGTTCCTTCTCTACATTGGTGGGTCTTGCACTTATAGGCTGATTTGCTCACCTTGGAGCTTCACGGCAGCCCTCAATTTGGCTGTTTTCGTGAACCTGCAGTCTAGGTCAACTCCTCCTGTGTCTGACCAGGAGTTGGGAGGTTTGGGGGGAATCCAGGCCCGCCCTCTACTCCGGGTTCCAGCCCAGGGACCCGTGGAATGCAGC